TTTAACCTTCCAGTAGAATCAGTCTTGGCTCCTAGACCGGGCTTCTGAGGGTATGAAGGTGGATTAGACTGCATTTTTTTCCATGTTCTTTTAAAATCTTGAGTAAATAGCATGCCACAGGAAGGTAGCAATTTGTATTGCTTTCCATGAAGGAATATTAATACTTGATATATATTTGCTCTTTTTCATTCAGTCCTAGGAGCAGAGTAGGGATCTCTTAAACAGCATGTGGTTATGAACAGACCGCTTAATCAAGGGTCTTAGCCTCGGTAAATACATGTAGGTGCAATGAGATTTAAACAAAAATTTAAGTATTTTATTCTTCCTTTTGTTTCATGTAATGAAACAGCAGCCTTAACCACAGTGAAACACAGTGTCCATATGAAAACCCCCCTCTTTAACACTGAGACATAGTTGCTAGTGTGGCTGATGAATGTGTGTTTGGGTTAAAAATTCGGAGCATCAATTTTTATTTTCTGAGCTTGTGCCCAGTAGATTTKCAGGTATTTAATGTTTGCATAAAATAAATGAAAAAATCAACCTTTAAATTTCAGAGAAGTTTGCCAYGGCTGTCTTTCACTGTTTGATTTGAAATAAGCACATTTAATAATAATATCTTAAAAGATTTGAACTCTAGTGTATGTTCTGTTTGAATAATGAAAATCAAAATATGCCAGAGAAATCTTAATAAATATACAATTTTTTAGATTTCTTTAATCTAAATGTTGATGAAAGTGAGCAGCTACCTCCGCAAAATGGTGCAGTGAGTTTTCTTGACAGTGGCTTTACATATATTAGAATATAGTTATAAGGGCAGATGATGATGTACTTGTCTATATAAAACATTTGCATGTGCTTGTTTGTCTTTCAGCTGTGGGTAAGCTGTGGCTGCTCAGGCTTCTTTCCATAGTTTTGAACTGTGTTGTACCTCCAGTGCTGCTGCTGTTCATAAGTGATGTCAGGCAAAGGTTGCTTTCTCCTGTGTGTATGAACATATTTAAAATTAATGGGAATATTCCTGTTAATTCTGCAGTACTTTAAGGATCTCACATGCAGTCAAGATCTGCTGGCTGATATTATTTTTGTCATCAAATCAGGGATGATACCTGAAAGTAGATACCAAAAAATTTATTTTTTAAAACATCATAAAGTTTGATTTACTTACTTTAAAGGAGAACCTACCAAGTCGTCCTTAAAAGCCAATTACCCTGAGTAATTTGTATATTCTGTAGATGCGAAGGGGTTGGACACAGGGAGGAATTCTGTCATGTGGATATGGCATAGAAAAATAATAAATATTATTTGAATGCAGAAACAGGTAGCATAAAACTGATTTCCTATGCTGTGTTTGAGATTACAAATTTGGTTGGTAAGGGAATGGATGCAAAAATTTAGATTACTAACTATCTATTTGTACAAAGAGTTATGATTAAAATGTGAAGTTAGAATGGTACAAAATCACACATGCACGGACAATAATTAAAATGCTTAGTTCAGAGACTTCAAAATGTATTTCAATTTKTGGCTTTCTGGTGGTTTCTCACAGGGTTAAGGTTCTTACACCTACTCTACTTACTGCTTTAACATGTTTTTTAACATCACTGTTTTTGTTGACAAATTTTGAATATAATGCCAAAATCAGGGGAATACTTAATGATGGAGAGCAGAGATCACTTATATAGAGCAACTGCCATTTTTTTGATGTTGTTCATTGTCACATACGTGTAGCTTTATATTTGATAACATTCAGTTCATCCAGTAATAAAGAACAGAGGGTATCTATATAGATGAATAAGAGTTGTTCACCAGGAAAAGTGGCTCGGAAGAAAACTCGTGCTTAGGACTGGGAGGCTGAATTCCAGGTGCTGTTGGATACAAGCAAGAGGTTCTCAGATAAAATTGGAAGGTTAAGTTTCCTCTTTGTTTGCCTGTGTTATGAGTATTATATCAGTGGTCATAAGTATGTTATGGCCAGCTTTTATGATGCAGGCCGTAAAGCAGTAGGGGGTACAGAGAAGGATCATGATGGAGAATTTGCTGTAGCTTCTCTGTTGTTTTGGCAATTCTGAAATCAAGATTGGCAATTCTGAAATCAAGATTGGCAATTCTGAAATCAAGAAGGAAAGAAGAAGAAAAGAAGAAATTCTCTAATAGAGAATTCTCTATTCTCTACGTAAGAATTAATTTGGGAGAGTACTAAGAACCAGGATGTACATGAATGGAGCTTGGATTTAAGGATCCAGGGCTAGAATTTGTCTCTCTGTAGACAAAAGGTTTTGCCCTTCCTGTGCTTTCTCTAGTTCTCTCTCCCTTACCCGAGAAGCATGATGAATATCACTTCTAAAGAGGTTTGGAGCACAGCAATAGACAAAGAGGGAAGATTACTGTGAGGAAATTGTTCATTTGGCTTGTGCACATTCTTTTTAATTGCATTTACATAGTGATTGCAGCATACCCCCCTCTGTTTTAAGAACMCACCTATCAGAGAAATAGTTTTCCACTGTCTTTCAGACCAGAACTAGGTCTTTGGACGTTAGAGCTTGAAGCCTGATTTGGCCAAGAAATCAGATCAGTGTTTCTTCCCATGGTGGAAATAGATTCAACTGAYTAAAGTTCAACCAAGAAGATGTATTGCATACGATACTTCTCAGCTGCTGTAGCTCTGCTGCAATCAGCGCAGCTCTGCCAGTTTGAACCAGCTTAGTATCTGACCAAACATACAATGCAGAATAACAAGTGAAATCAAGATATTTCTACAGATCCAGGGAAGCTCTTCAGCAGTGCATTCAGTTAGTTCAGTTCTCTTCCCACCAGGTACTTCTCTACCCCAAAATAGACTAACATGCAAGTCTGCACTTCATTAGCTGAACTCCCAGGTGTGTATCAGCCTCGTCGTTAGCAGTGCTGTCTAGCTGCACATTATTACACAGTCCTTCATCATAGGAGAATGAACAGTCTTAGAGCCAGACTATTTACTTATAGTATATGGAAAATCTTTATTTTCTCGGTGTTTTTAGCTGCTTGTATAGACATCTATAATTAATATTTATTAACTTAAATTCAAGGGAGAGCTCAGGTCCTCAAGCTCAATATTGACCTTACCAGAGCTAGAATTTTTCCTAGTGAGGGCAGTAGCTTAACAAATCCAATCTGAATTATAATGTTCCTCTCTCTTGTGTGCTTTGGGTCATATTTCCAATGCCAATATGATGTTCAAGCTACTTATTAGAGAATATGTAATTCAGTAGGGAATTATTATACTTGTCCTGTTATATATTAAAATCTATTCCCAGGCACCTGCTGCCATGCTGTATTACCCATACTGAGGCATAACTGCCTGTAATAATGATCCTGACTGCTTTACCCACTTGATTTAAGCTCTGTGCATTGACATATTTGTAGTAGAGCTATTACTGCAATACTTAATAGGGATAGAAAGGAGTTGGCATTTCCTATAGTTTTTATCTGGATGCCTCAGATGAGATAATTTATTTTGTTGTTAAGTGCATGCAGAAAGTTCCATGAACTTCCAAGTTAAGCTTGAGATAATTGATTTTATCAAAGTTCAGGACAACATTGATAGTGTATTAATAGATATAGCTGTTCACATTCTAGTAAATACAGCAATGTAGTATGGAAGTATATGGAGCAATATGTTTTCTGTTAGCAAAAACCTTCAACTCTACCACATGACCTATAATGTATGTTTTTCCAAGATTTCAGTCCAAAAAAGAAGATGCATAACACTGATGGAAATCTAACATTAAATGGTTCAAATAAATTTAACCTACTAATTTTAGTTCGATGAACACTGTGTAATGGTAGCAAATCTGACAGGAGGCTGAGAGTTGTCTCTTTTCTTAATTTAATTCTTAGTTCTTAATTCATCTTCTAATGGAAATGACAACATTGGAAAGTTGTCTAGGTACAAATTTAATAATCCTCTACAATAGTCAAACAGTTTCTGACTGCAGAAACTTTATTGGTAATATAAAAGATAAAAATAAAAGCCTTATTAACTTCTGTTTCTTATATAGATGCAATGTTCCAAAGTCCTATTTATAATTTATATCAGTGCTAAAATTAGTTATAGGGATGTAGCTTCGAATTTCCAGGGAGCTTGTCATGGTTATATATATCTAGAAGGGAATGGTTTCATTGCTTTGGTTGTGTCAGTGTGATTAAAGCAGCAAAACTTCCAAACRTGAAGTGGCCCTTCAACAAGAGTTTACAGCGGTACCAATTACCAAAAGTTTTTGATAGTGAAATCAGTGAGAGCTGACATTTTTGCATACATTTTTCTTTCATTTAAAGAGAAAAAAAAGGCAGTATAACAAACAAAATCATCCACACTGCTGCTTGTCTGTTTCGATTTGCACAGTTTACAGTGTGTATTGCTGCATGTTCAGAATTTACTATTTTGCTATAAGCCCRGTAAACAAATACAGGTATTTGACCCTCCCCTAAAAAAAAAGTTTCATTTGTTGTTGTTTGCACAGTAAGATTCATATATGTAAAATATTCTTGTAAATATATAGTTCTCCTATTAAATTCCATTTTCTGGGATGAAAGGGAAGCAAAAATGAAAATATTTGGGGGGTTTTATGGAACATTTTCTGAATACAGGATTTCTTCAGACCATTGATTCAGACAAATGATTCAGACAATTGACAACTGCCCCAGTGTCCTGTCTTTTATTTTTTTTTCTTCCTAGCAGGCAAAAATACTTCAAAAGTAGCTGTAGAACTTCATTTCCTTTTCAGATGATGCCAAAGTAAATTAATTTCATGTCATTGTGTTTGTTCTTTACATTTTTTTTGTTTGCTTTGTTTTGTTTATGTTTATATAGCAATTATTCTTATGTTTTTTTTTCCTTTCTGTTTCCCAACTTGAGCTGGAGTAGTTATAAGAAATGGTAAAAACTGGGAATAGATTAGCTTATTTGAATAAATTCCTGGTTTTAGCATAAATAATTGAATGTCCTCTTTTTTTTCTTGCAGAACGGTTTACACAATATAGCCCTAAAAACCTTAGACAAGCATGGAATAAGTAAGTCTTTTTTTTATTACTCTTTTGACTCTTCAAGAATGTAATTCATGCCAAGCTAAAGCTATCATTATTAGTTTAAAATGGATTTATCCTTTTTAAGTACAGTACAAATGTGAAATTATTGAAGTATTATTCTTCCCCATTTCTGTCAATTTTTATGTGCCAATTTTCCTGAACTCACTGAAGGATGTATTGTTGCTTTGAATTGTTTTCTCTGTTCCACTTTAGCAGTAAGAGACTTGTAAAATAATCAATTTCTGATGAGCTCTGAGACTTGCTTCCAAATAACCATCCCTGTTGCAAGGCCAGCCTGTTCATTGCTGTGAGCTAATGACCATACTGTTATATGTGTTAATTATCCTGTCTGAAAATGTCAATAAGAATTCACCTTGTTTTTTCGATTTAATGTTTCCTTAAATTTGTCTTTCTACATTAGACAGACCCGGATATAGAGGTAGTTGCATTGTATTTTCTTTACAGAAAAATTATTAGTTTTTTCCCCCAACTTCTTTGACCAAAGTTCTTTGCTGAGCTGTTGCAGCCCCAGCATTGCTGTTTCTGCTCCACGGTCATTCCCAGTTTCACTTTTGGTGCCCATCAGCTGTCTTCTTGGTCATGTACCAGGGAGGTAAGGACAAACTCAACAGGAAAATGAGGCATCTCCTCTCAGTGTAGCACTGAAATTGAAGATACAAAATGCCTTGGTAAAGGAGCATCCCTGTTACAGGAGAAAGGTGTTGTAGGTAGAGCTAAAGTTGGAATCCTTCACCAACATCATCATTTATTAGCAATGGAGTGGGTGTACAACTCCACTAGTCATAGCACAGTTGTTTCCCCAACATGTGACTGGGTTTATACTCTTTTTGCACTACTGTTATTCCTTCTCTTATGCTCCTTCTTACCCAAATTTATTCTGGACTGAAACAGCCATTTGTAGTTTTAAATAATGTTTAGTTTTAAACTACAGTCCCATTTGAAATTGTGCTTAACTAGGAAAGCAGAAATCTCCATTGATTTAACAGTTCATAGTTAAACTGGAGTGTTACTTATTGGATGTTATAACATTGAAGGTTTATCCTTGGAGTCCAAACCYGTGCTCCTCAAGGCTGGCTGTCTCACAAGAGCTTGTAGCTCACTCCTCACTGCTCCTGGCTCCTCTCCTCCTAGGAGTGCCTTGCTATTTCCTGGAGTACCAATGAAGCCGATGTATTCTCTAAGGATGAGTTCCAGCTACCTAAGTTAATCTTTCTGCAGTTCGTGGAAATATTCCTGGCAAGTCCAGCTCAGACTGTGAAGCTAATTTGGTGGCACTCCCAGGAGAGACAATATCCTGTTTGCTGCAGAGGGAGCAGGAAGGAGGTTAATCTCACTTAGCTTGCAGTCAGCTTTTGTGAGCACCTCACACAGAGTTGCCAGGTSTTTTGATCATTGTAGGCATCTTGTAAGATTTGAATCTGTGTCAGAGTCTTGCTTCTTGAAATAATATAATTCCATGAAAGTCATAGGTTCCATTCAAGGTAAGTTACTAGAATTATCTATTTCCTGTCCTTTAACAACAGATGAACTTGCAAGTTCCCCATTTCTTTGAAAGTAGCTAATGAAATCCAAAAGCTTGGAAGAAGCAATTATATTACAACACAGGCAATTAGATTTAGATTGGGAAAGAGGGACAAGAAAACTAATATTGATGTGAATGTTTTTGCTTGGGGGCACATGTGTGTGTGAGTAATGTGCGTAGATACAGGCAAACTATTCCATCCATTCTGTAGGCTTGGACTGGCTCTTTATCCAGATTTTGACAGCAATTAGTCCAGTACCTAGCAGTATCTGCTATGTTTGAGTAAGTGTGAATAACATATTTTAATTTAGAAAGTTGTCCTGTCGTATATTTTAAAAGAACATTGTGTGAAATTTCCATTTTTTAAAAAATTTCAGGAAAAAAATAACAAAAGTTTGCTTTAAACAAGCCCTCCATCTCAGAGACTTCGTAATTGACACAGGTGATGATCACAGCACAGGCTGATTCAAATAAGACCAGAATCTTTTCATTTCTAAGAAACCTCTTCAAAAAATATTTATACATTTCCAGTGCTCCATGCATAAAGGATTTGCAACTTTTCAGCATAAATGAAGGGACTGAAAGACTGAAAGTAACAACAAAGAATGGAATTCAACATTCATATGTGCAGTTCTATTATAATAGGGAATTTTGAGCACCCCAAAATTATGTATCATCTACATKTAAAATGTAAAGGATTTTCTTTTTTTTTTTCAGTTTAAGTCCTTATCTGTGCACTCTATTAGAGCCCTGTTGCCTKCACAACTGTAATGAGGGCTGTATAAGTGTTTTTGTTATAGATGTTATATTCTCAAGGTTTTATAATTCATCTATAAAATTTAACATAAGCCCTTCATACACAGACTAATTCATTCTAGAAAATTTCTTCCTTTATTCATGTTTTAAAAAGCAGCAGTCTCTAATCTTTAAAATTCCTTATCAAGATTCAGATCTAAATTCCTGAAGAGTTCTGGGTTTTGTATGACACTAAAATGCTTTGCATAGGGGCTTAACTTGCAGCTTGGTGGGTACACTGACTAATTTCACTGCCATTGCTTCCTGCTATTAAAGCTAAGGATGGACTTGAGTCTTTGCAACACAGGAAGGTACTTTAGAAAATCTCTACTGCAATCTCTATACAGTATTAAATATGTATTTTTATAGGTATATTCTAAAGCATACACCAGGATGTTTTTTAACAGTATGTAAGTATATTCTTTAAAAATTATTTTAGTTTGAGAGAGAAGGTTATCTAAACGTTAGCTTATAATTGATGCAGCTACATTAATTCCTGCGTTCYGAAGATGCTAAAGAGGTTTCTGCCCACTGCTTGTCCATGTCAGCAGGACCAGGACTGGGGCGCTCTGTGATTCCTTTTCCAMTTGGCCTCCAAGACAGGCCAAGACGTGCTAGCATCTCCACTGAACAGTCCCTAYAGCCCCTATCCTAACAGCATTCCGGTGCCAAATACGTTTATCTTTGTAGCACTTCTCTGAGGTGAATTCCTCTCATCATATTTTAGAGATGGGGAATTGAGGTACAAAGGYATTGAGTAATTTTTACAAGGAAACACCCCAAAACTGTGTACCAGAACAAGAAATTGAACTTGGTGCTCCCAGATCAGAAGATAACACCTTTAATTTTCTGAACATGCTGAAGCTTTCTCCCTTTACTGTAGCCTCTTTCAGAACTAGGCGCAGTCCAGCCCCTTATCTTGTTTGTRTACAAATATTGAGGCCCTGACATGGAAGAGTAAGAATTTAGATTTAGAGGAATCTTCAGAGAGGCTCACCTTGAAATATGCATGATTATAATTCAGTTTATGTGAGGATAGGTTACTGGGAGAAAGAATAACAGCCTGGGAGAAAGAACAGATTCTATGAAACCAATAGACAACACAGAAGGAAGAGGGGCCCAAAATAAGAAAAAAATCTACACAGATTTTAGATGGTAGATTGGGGAAAAAAATAATTGCACCTAACTGAGCCCAGCTTCCAGGAGCTCTGGAGTTTGGAGATGGAGCCAGAGAGAAGAACAATGATGTGTCCAAGCTAGTGGTTCTTTAACTACTAGGCTAACTGAAAGTATGGAATGTAATATATAGTAAATTATACATTTGAGATAGTGGGAAACCATGCTGATGACAGCAGTGTATGTGAAACCCAGCAGGCTCGTTAGTCCAACAACTCTTAAAATAACCTACGTCAATATTTGAGGCTAATTTTGAGAAGCGTTTGAGGGAAATAAGTGTAGCTAACAGAAGTAGCAAATTAAGTTCCTCGGTGACTTTAAGATTCAGTTTCTTCACTGATTGGCAAAATACAGACAAATCATAAAGAGAATATTTACAAGGTACAGTGTGATATATACATTTTCTATAAAATGTCAGGAAACAACTTGCATTGACATTTCCTTCTGTCTAATTTGAAGCTTCACGTATGCTGTGTGAGCAAACGTAATGGGAATTGTAATTATAAAATACCARTCAGAACAGAATAAAGATGTTCTAGTCTGATCTTCTGATTTAGGTCACAGTAAAACAAGCTGTGACTGGTAAAACTGCTCTTTTTAAGTATCTCCATAGGGGTCAGACTGGACAATGATGACTTAAAATCATACCTGTGCRAATGGGGGATTGTGTTTTGGTCAGGGCGGGTGACAGAGGTGCAGCTGGGGAGGGCCTGCAGCTGCACTGGGGCCAGCTCAGTGCTGCCAGTGGGGAGTCACGGGGAGCTGTGGTGTGAGAAAGGGAAACCAGCCCCCAAGTGAAAAGATTTTATAAAGATATTTATGATGTAGAGGCATATAAACCTGTTTCTGGCTCCCAAAGGACTCCTTGCTTTATGTGATATTGCTATACTGTAAAAAATATATATATTTTTCTCATTTCCTGCTGTATTTCATTTGTTTCCCATATACACCCTCTTTAGCAGTCATGCCTTTTTTTTTGGCCTGGGTGACCTTAGGAAGCCCATCATGGCAAAACCAATGTCAATGTGCAACAGAAACAAACAAAAAAAACATTAGTCAGATGGTAGATTTATTACACTACCGCATTTTATGAGAACAAACAAACAAACAAAAAACTTCAATAACGTCCCGCTGAAGGTGTCCCGTCACCCGTGGCGGGGCCGGGCCGGCAGTGCGATGCTGCCAGCGCTAGGAGGAGCGCGGCCCGTGGCACCGCGGCCCACTCTGCCCGGGGACTCTCACAGCTTGCTGTTGGACKCATTTTTCTGATACTGCTTTGGTTTTTATTTCACTGTTTTGCGCCAATCATTAAGTTAACTTCAGGGCGGTGGAAGCTGCTTGTTTACRCTTAAGCGCTCGTTTTTTGTGTGTTTATAGCTATAAATTGCACCTACTTAATACCATTTTATATGATTTGGGCATCATAAAGGGGCTCAATGCAAAGGAAAGTTGACTTTTTAAGTTCTCAGGC